AAATAATTTCAAACATCAGTTTTCAATGTTTTATGTTTAATATATCAAAACATTATTTATGCATTTGTAATTGCAGGTTAAATGCATTCATGTCTTGCATTAACAGTGTGTACAGTGTGTAAATACATCTAAATGCCACTTCAGATGCAGCTTCTGTGTTGATTTCATTTGCGCCCAAATGTATGGACACTTTTAGAAAAAATGGCTTTATAAAGGTAAAAATGCCCATAAAATGTAAAAATAAGTTTAAACTTATTGGAAAAGATTAATTTCTCTCAGTGTGAACTGACCACCACACAGAATATGAAGAATATTAAAAACTTTAAGAGTCAGTTGTCCACGGCAGTCCTTAAGGTACCAGCACAATAACACACTCAGCAAAATATCATCTAATTATCGTTATCGATAAAATCCCAGAAAATATCGAGATATTATTTTTTGTCAATATCGCACACCCCTAACTTCAGAACACTTGGAATATAGTGCACGGAAACTTTATGGTGCTTTATGATGTTTTTGTGGTTTTTGTGGGGCTTAAGAATAACACAGAATAGTATACGCGCAATATCGGATTTGGATCGGTCTCGTCTGACCGATACCCGATCCGGCAGAAAATGGCAGTATCGGATCGGTGCATCCCTAAATATAATAACGATACTATAATAACCTTTCATAATTGTGTCATTCGGCTGAATTTATTTCAGTGTTGATTCAGTTCAATAACAGTGCTGATGTTGCATCGTCAGTGTCATTATCCAGCTCATTTTACTTAAAATTTTGTTCTCATCTGATAGTGAGAAAAGTGCAAAAACTAACGGCAACACACACAATTTCTAATTTAGAAACGGTTTCTATTTCCGCGACGTCGCTGCTGGAACAACAACATACAAACGATATGACAGTCTATGATTATGTGCTTTATTCAAAGTTAAAAGTGTCTAATATGAGTTTAAATATCATTTTGCGTGACCTTATAGCCATAGCCTACTGAAAGCAACCGCTGGAACAACAACATACAAACGATATGACAGTCTATGATTATGTGCTTTATTCAAAGTTAAAAGTGTCTAATATGAGTTTAAATATCATTTTGCGTGACCTTATAGCCATAGCCTACTGAAAGCAACCACAGATAGTTTACCTCAGATCTTGAAAATAAATTAAAGCAAAGATGTTCGTTAAAACTGTGAACTCACTGCGAACCAACAAGCGTATTCCATGACAAAAATGGTATCAGTCACTCAGTATGTACATTTAATGATGTTAAAAAGGTTTAATATTTATGAATTAGATTATAAACGTCTCCATTTCGTTGCGAGTGCAGTGCGCTTCCAGAGAGGCTCCGCCCACACACGCTTTTGATTGGCTGTGATATTTGATTGATTCTGTCGCGTCGTGTCTAGTGTGGACACCCAAATTGCTTGTCGCTGGAATCTTGTCGCGCCGCGTGTAGTTAGGACACGGTGTAATGCTCTGTATGCAAAATATAATTTCTGTTGCTTGTGAGCTGAACATGTTCTTAAGAGGAGATGCACATGGACGTGATGTGTTGCTCTCATGCTCTCACAGGGATGTGGGTTTGAACGGTGTGTCACGTCCCGATCCCGTTCCCCTCCATCTCTCTCTCTCCCTCCGGGTGTTTGGCAGAAGCTGCGGTGATGCAGGACATCTGGAGCGTGCCGTCCTTTCTGATACTGTTGTTAATGTTACTCACGATTAATGGCAGCTTGGCAGGCCTGCGTTTCATATTTCACTGAAGCTGTGCAGGACTGGAGTGAATCAATAGCTGAGAGAGAGAGAGAGAGAGCATGGGTTGCGCTGCAGACGCTACAGCCTCCCACTTCCTCAAACTCCTCCGGATCAGACCATCTCTCTCTCGCGGGGGCCGCCGCTCACAGCCCTCCTCGTTTCCCCACGGCTGCGCGGCTCAAGAGTGCACAAGCCACGGCGCATCGCGTTTCTAATGTGAGTGCTGTGAGCACGGTGCACTGAATCTGCATCACACAGCGGTGCTCGAGACGTCACATTGAAAGATTCCCCCCACATTCACCGTTCCTTCTGCTTTGGTACGATCTCCGGGCTTCCAGCCGTCCGAGTCGCCGAGAGATGCTTTGAATGCAGCGATTGGCCTGCATGCGCTTCGTCTGCATGCGAGAGGCACTCAGGTGAGCTGTTTCCTGCAAACAGTGGCTGCAATAAGGTAAGAGCGCAGCACGACGAGCGCCGCGTCCCCTTCCTCCCTTTCAGTGCATGCTGATGGGCACAAACACTCCCCAGATGCTGCCATCATCACGTTTAATGTGTTCACTGGGCATATACGCTGAAAATGCACCCATGCAATGATGCACACTGCTTGTGACGTGCTGTCATGTCCGGAGCGGGTCGGCCCACCTGAGAATCGCGCTGGTTTATTGAGACGGGGGAATGTGGCACAGACTGGACGCATGCTTGGATAACGTGTGTTTATTAGGGATGCGTTGTTGTTGCGATATGCTCAGCGTAAGACTTTCTGCCCCGAGGAGGGAGGAAGAGAGATGATGGAGGAAGAAGCAGGCCACTCTCCTCCCTTCTGTGTTAGCGCCTCGCAGCATCGGCTGCTTTATCAGGCGCAGGATTAGAGCCGAGCCGCTGATATGTGTCACTAACACACTAAGATCACGCTGATGACGGACGGATGAACTGGGGCACTCGAACAAACGAGCGCCGCAAAAGTGTGTTCATCAATTCATAGCTGCTTCGATAACCTGATCATTATTGAAAATAATTTTGTAATTTGTGCATTTCAAACCAGTACTTTTATCTATCTATCTATCTATCTATCTATCTATCTATCTATCTGTCTATCTATCTATCTATCTATCTATCTATCTCTCTATCTGTCTATCTAGCTATCTATCTATCTCTCTATCTATCTATCTATCTATCTATCTCTCTCTCTCTCTCTATCTCTCTATCTGTCTGTCTATCTATCTATCTATCTATCGTTCTATCTATCTATCTCTCTATCTGTCTGTCTATCTATCTATCTATCTATCTATCGTTCTATCTATCGTTCTGTCTATCTTTCTATTTCTCCATCATTTATCTATTTATCCTTCTATCCATTTTATCTGTCATTCTATCGTTCTATCTATTGTTCTGTCTATCATTCTGTCTGTCATTATATTTATCCATTATTTTATATATTTATCCTTCTATCCATTGTTTTATCTATTTATCCTTCTATCTATTGTTCTGTTGTTCTATCTATTATTATATCATCTTTCTATTGTTCTGTCTGTCATTATATCTATCCATGATTTTAACCTTCCATCCATCCTTCCATCCTTCCATCCATCCATCCATCCATCCATCCATCTATCTATCGATCTATCTATCTATCATTCTATCTATCGTTCTATCGTTCTGTCTATCATTCTGTTTGTCATTATATTTATCCATCATTTTATTTATTTATCCTTCTATCCATCGTTTTATCTATTTATCCTTCTATCTATTGTTGTATTGTTCTATCTATTATTATATCATTCTGTCTATCTGACGTTCTGTCCATCTATTTATCATTCTCTCTGTCATTTTATTAATTTATTTATCATTCTGTCTATCTGTTGGTTTTGCCAGGCCAGCTTTTATAGTTAATCTTGACAAACTGTGCTTTTAAAAATGAACATAACTGCACTGAATTTCACTTCCTTAAATTAAAATCAGAATTTTTATTCTACATCTTGTTTAATTCAAATACGGGACAAGAAAAGAAATAAAAAAACAACAACCTTGATCCATAGTTGTTAACTAGTTTAACCGGCTTCACTCCATATGCTGTGCTGGTAAACTAACCAGATTAAACCAGACTGGACCAGCATGTAAATTCGTTTGTGCTCAGATGTGATTATCTTTCTGCGATTGCTTATGTTTTATGAAGCATAACAAAGCTTTCGTTGCGATGCGGTCAGATGAGCTGAGGTCACACTGCGAGCTCTCACACAGACCCGCTCACGCTGAAGATGTTCATTAGCGCCGGCCGCTCGCATTAAATATGTGCATAATTAATTTCGCAAGGGAGTAAACATCCCTTAATTGTCATGGATACAAAGTTTTAATCACCCAGTGTCTCCATTTGTTAGATGTTTTATGTAAATCTAGTCATTAGCCAACTGCTGTTGACCGTTGCTTCGCTTTCCCGAGCAAACGTCTGCTACAATTATCAATCTGTAATTCAGAAACGATTAGCCGAGCCACAAGGCTGTTTGAACTCACTCAAACGGTTCTCCAGCACTCAGCGTGAACCTGACCATTAGAATCCACACAAAGGCTTGGGTTACACCTCCGTTACAGAGAGCGGCTCTCGTCCCTGCAGCCGGAGATCAGCACAACTCTCTAATTCAGCTCACATTCTCCTGAAGGTCACTCAGATAGCGGCTATCTATCTATCTATCTATCTATCTATCTATTAGGGCTGTCAAAATGGCTGAAAAACTAAATTCAAATTTTTTACTTAAATATGAACAAAATTCGAATTATATTCGAATTTAAAATACATAATTTCAGTTAGGCTGAAGAAAAGCTTTTGGCTTCTCTTCTGAGGCCACAAGAGGGCGCATCGAGCAAAATATTATTAATGCACGTTTATTCAAAGCATAACCTGTGGGAAAAAAAGTGCATAATGTTTAAAATAATGTTTAGAAACCAATTATTATTAAGTTGCTTAAACAACTATAAACAAAAAAGCATCATGTATGTATGCATAGTTTAATACAAAGGGCCGAAAGCCAATCACGCAGAGTACATTTTTCATTTAAAAACATGAGTTGCAGTGGGATGGGGAAAAACCCGCCATAAAGTCTCGAGATTAGTTTTTTTCAATGTTGAACTTACATTAATTTTACATGGCTTTCTAAACATG